AACCCGCGCAACATGAATGATAAATGATTTTGATTTGCATTTGTTTATTGATCCTTCAAAGCGCCACATTCAAATATGCGTTTGATCCCGAGAAATTGAGTTTTTACACTTTTTCAGTTCGTTTCAAACAATTAAATAACACAAGTACTGCAAGAACATTTTATACTTTAGATATAAACACTGATGTAAATGATAATGGTTAACATCCACCTATAATGAAACATGACGTTTTATGTGTGAATTGTTGAATCATTAATTGAAAATAAATATAATATGCTGTACAAGATGTTAGATTTCTGTATTTAGCATTATCAGCAACAGTAGCAAAGATCATTTTTCATATTCAATATTTTTTTGCTGATTCTTTTTATTAAAATGACAAGTTCTATGTTTGTTGAAAGCAATTGTTTTGCAGTAATATTTTTGTATGAACGGAAAGCAAATGACATTTGCCTCCTCCCTTTTTTGCTTATCCGAAAAATGGTCAGATCAGTGACCCAAAAACCGCAGTGTGATCCGAACCGTGAGATTTGTCCAAGCTTGTCCATGCTTTTATTACGTCTCGTCTTGATTTTTGTAACTCTTTATTTGGGGGTCTGCCAGCCAACTCACTTAAGATCTTACAATATGTTCAAAACTCAGCCGCACGTGTGCTAACTCACACATCATCTCGCTCTCACATTACTCCTGTACTTCAGCAGTTACGCTGGTTGCCTGTTAAGTCACGCATCGATTTTAAAACCTTGATTTTAACTTACAAAGCTTTTCATGGTTCTACACCTGATTATATATGTGACTTGATATCAACCTCCTCATCCTCTTGCAATCAACGTTCTGCTTCGGGGCTCACCTTGTATCAGCCCCGTTGCAAACTTAGCAGCATGGGAGGTAGGGCTTTCTCTTATCGTGCACCTAAATTGTGGAATGCTCTCCCCACAAACATCAGAAATGCCAGTTCCCTGGATTGTTTTAAGAAACTTCTTAAAACTCAAATATTATTGCTTATAATTTTTGAGGCCTTCTTTTAATATGTATATTTTTATCATTATTATCATTCTTACTTTGTGTATTTCATGTTCTCTGTGTGTTGATGCTCTTGATAGCGCTCTGAGTCTGAGAAAAGCTCAATATAAATAAAATGTATTATTATTATTATAATTATTATTATTTGTGATCTGTTACACCGCTTATTATTTTTCCAATAGACTCAGATGAACTTCATGTCTTAATACAGAATGAAATATAAATGAATAATATTCACTCAATGAGGGATTAGACTGATTCAAACCCTCATAACGCACAAGTCATTAGTTTGCAAGGATTTTCCAATAGAAACATGTATTTTATATATTTTATGCTGTGGTGCCATCCTCGCTTACATTCAGTTCACAACTTTGCCAACACAATTTTCTTTGCCATGGAACTGTAAATTCAGTGACTCAAAAAACAATATTCAATTCAAGTTTATTTGATTATGCTTGACAAAAACCCATTCCAAATGAGCATAATTGATATTTTCAGTAATTCATTTAAACATTTAACTCAACAGAGAGAGATGCTGAGAGTAAGTGGTCTCTTTTTAATTTAACTGTACACATTTAGATCCAGTGTTCAAATAAGAAAAATGATCACTAAATCGATTAATGCTATGAAAGTAGCAGAACAGTTTAGTGTGAAGGTGTCATTGGGCCAAAACGGCTTGCTCTTATTGCATGCTCTCATGTGTGAAAACACTAGAAAAAACCCAATCCATATTAAATTGGCAACTTTAAAAGCTTTAAATGTGCAGTACGATCAATAGCTTTTTAAAGCCACAGCTACTCAGATACAGATAAGTACAGACCAAGGTCATTATTGGTCACTTTAAAACTCATTTAGAAATCAGGATTTACTCTAGCTAAAGTCCCTATAAGAAAGTCATTTCACTTGGCGGCAATCTTTAAAGCTTCTCTCAGGCAAGCTCCTATTTCTTTGAGTGGGCAAACATCAAATTCTCCAAAACTGTTTGCCAATCTTACAATTCAATTTGGAATCACCAATGAAAAACAACAAGTGACTAATACATTTGATCTAGCCTTTTTTAACAACATCAAAAAACAAATTAAGTAGTTCCAGGAGTAATTCCAGCAGGTCTTGACCACTTCACAGTTCTATATAACTACGCTGAACAATTTCAGTTACTTCACAGTCTACAACAGCCAAAAATACTGCACCTCAACACAGACGCTCTCTAGCAACTGCATTAGTTTGCGGTCAATTGCTCAAGCCTCCATTACTTTCAGCTTTGGATAAGATGCGTGAGAAACTAACCATACGCACAATTTTTACAATATAATTGAATGCAATAATGACTGAAATGAAACTCTTGAGCCTTAAATTTGTGTTGTGTAGCTTTACAGTAGGGGGCAGATCATTTTCGACACTGGTTCCTTTCCAGTATCAGCTCACGACTAATTTCACTTTCAAATTAAACTGCTTAAATGTAAATCTACATTTACTTCTTTCATTGCAAACGTGAGCTAATAAATATCTGATCTCTAAAATGACCTTGGAGAGCCCAGCTCTTGGCTCTGGCCACAGAAACACGAGTGTCTATAATCCTCTGGCCATATCAGTTCAGTCTGAGAGGATAAGTGTGGTGGGAGGTAGTGACTGGTTGGTAAAATGAAAATGCTGATGCCAGAAAGCCCAGTGGTAATACTACAGGCCGCTCAGCAGCAATGGGCTATTGTGAATGATAAATAAAGTCACCACGTGCTAAACAAGCTTGTTGTTAGGGCATCTGTGCAGTGATTCAACTAGGAATTACTTTACATCTACATATGAAAGTCTAGAATTTATGATCATGCATGAAATAATGGAAGCAGAAAATTATGATTACACTAGGCTTACGGTTTCAATAAAATGTGTTATTATATTATAAAAACAACTCTGTTTGGTCACATACTGACAATCTTTTAATACAAATACAGCTGTGGATGAAAAGAAAAATACAATAGATACAATATGGTGCAAACTCAAAGTTTTGTGTGCCTGTGCCTTTCATACTTTCTGTATTTTTTTACATTATAAGGCTTGTCGCATTGACTTTTACGACCCATAAAACATCATCTTCACAAAGCCTCGTCTCTTACCATGTTCTCAGACTTTCAACACATCACAATTAAAAACAGATTGAACAACAGTTACACAATATTCTTCATGAGAGAATGTTGAAAATTCATAATGAAAAAATACATATCCCTTTTTTTCAGTATAAGTATTAAGTGAGTTTTTTGTGGTTAGGATTTCCTGAGGAAAATCTCTTTCAGTTGATGTAATAGGGAACAAGAGCAAGCATTCACATTTGAAATTTGAGATCACATGATCTCGATAGGCTGCATATTTGAGTACCGGTATAACCAACCAAAACAATACGTGCATTAAATCAGTCACTTTAAACCCCCAACCTTTAGCATCTGGTAACTACCTGCAAAATATAACAAATTACATGCAAATACCAAAACAGGACAAACATGTAAATTAAAATATAAGTTTGGCAAGTCAAATGTAAAATGTTTTGAGAAGTCAAGGACAGCAGTATGTGTAAAGGCCTGAATGCATTTCATCCCATGTACAGTGCATCCGGAATGTATTCACAGCGTTTCACTTTTTCCACATATTTTTGTTACAGCCTTATTCCTAAATAGATTAAATTCATTTATTCCCTCAAAACTCCACACACAATGCCCCATTAATGACAATGTGAAAAAAGATTTTTTGAAATTGTTGCAAATTTAATAAAAATAAAAAACCTGAAAAATCACATGTACATAAGTATTCAAAGTCTTTGCTCAATACCTTGTTTATGCCACTTTTAAGTGCTAACAAATTTTCTAATCATAGAAATCACTACAGCATAAATGCAGATATGATGTGAGAATAAGATTCATTTAGTAGCGAAAGAGAGCATAGATCAAGATATCAGTGTTTCAGAAAGATTTCAAGTCAAACTTAAGACACTTTTAAGTTCATTAAGAATTAAATTTTAGACTTCGACAGAATTAATGATTTTTACTATTATCATGATGAATTGTTTAATTGTTTTTAGGTTTTTCCCTGATGAGGGAATTTAGTTTAGGGAATTTGCTGTAAAAACAACTGCTATGAATTGTATCTATTTGTAATATAAAATTTAAATATATAAAAAAAAAGGTTTTTATTGTTGGTCATTGGATGGATGTCGGCCCAAATTGAGTAGCTTTACTAACACAATGATTTAAAACATTAAACACAATTTGTCAGTGAATTTAAGACCTTTTAAGGCCTAAAATTTTGATTTTGAAATTTAAGACTTTTTAAGACCCCGCAGATACCCTGAGTTATAATCACTTTATTAGAACTGAAGTCAACGTATTTTTCCTTGAAGCCTTTACATTCAAAAATAGCTGAAATAAATTGCAAATACCACAATTTTAATGTTTTCTTTGATAACGTAAATGCTTTTGTGGGAATATGAGATTATTTTAAAAACTTTTTAAAGTGCCCCTATTATAGATTTTAAAAGGACTTAATAAGGAAACATTACCAGTAAAAATAGTAAAGCAGTGTGTAAATAATAGTGCCATTTGAAATACCAAAGTCATTGAAAGAACTTGCTCTTGGAATGCATATTGAGACGTTTTGTTCTCATGCACAAGTGAAACATTGCCTGCCCAATTGTTGGAAAAAACTGAAGCCATCATATTGCGAAAATCTTATAGGACTAATCATTGCATCATTGGGACGATTAGGTAAAATAAAAGCATATTATAGAACAATGAAAGAATGTTTGACCTTGCATGCAGATTAAACTGTTGTTTAGGAGTCTCAAAATCAAAATATCCTTATATTCCATAATTGGGGTACTTTAAATGAATGTTTTCCAACCCTAAACTTCTGAAAGGTAATAAATATACACAACAGCTTTTCTTTTTTCTGTGCATAAGTGTGTGTTTAAGCATTTTGGCGGTGTGTTTTACCTCTGCTGATCCTTTGTTTCTCTCCGCTCAAGATTCCTGGAGTGTCAATCACACTGATGCTCTCCAAAACCGGGTTGGGAAGCTGGGCGCACACGAACCTGAAAACCAACACAAACAAACCAGTCACACTCAAGGACTCTGCAGTCTCCCAGCACACCATTGACACATTTCACTTTCCTCAGTTTATACCTCTCCACGTTATTTCTGATTTAAGCTAAACTTTGTCCATTTTGTGAATTAACAATCACAGCTAAAATGAAGTCCTACATAAAAATAAATAAATGTGAATTTTTTCTTAATTTTGCAACTTAGCATGGAACAGAATGCCAGAAAACATTATTTGTTTGACCAAGCTGGACACAAAAGAACATAAAAAGCAAGACTTCACATTTTTATAGTCCAAGTACAAAAAGTCTGCTCTGAGATGTTTTAAAAGCAGCCTAGTGTACTAAAATAGAGGCTTAGCTTTGAAGCCCAGAAAAAGCGTGTCATGTTTTGGAGCGAATCGCTAAGGACCTCAGGCTGGGCTAACTTTTTCCTAACATTATTTACTCTGCTTTTGACAGTTCCTTTTATAACATGTTAGACACAAACAACAAAAAAGCAAGGGAGAGAACAGTCTAGCACGTTCATTTACTGAACATCTGGCAATACTTGTACACAACATGTACTGTAAGTAAATCTAAGCTAATGCTCGAGTCAAATGTGACAGGTTGAACATGAGAGGAGAGTTGCATACAGTTGAAGTCAGAATTATTAGCCCCATGAATTATTAGTCCCTCTGTTTATTTGTTTCCCCAATTTCTGTTTAACAGAGAGAAGATTTCTTTTAACACATTTCTAAACATAACAGTTGTAATAACTCATTTCTAATAACGGATTTATTTTATCTTTGCCATGATGACAGTACATTATATTTTAGTAGCTATTTTTCAAGATGCTAGTATTCAGTGACATTTAAAGGCTTAACTAGGTCAATTAGGTTAACTAGGCAGGTTAGGGTAATTAGGCAAGTTATTGTATAACGATGGTTTGTTCTGTAGACTATCGAAAAAAATATATAGTCTAAAGGGGCTTATAATTTTGACCTTAAAATGTTTTTTTTTAAATTAAAAACTGCTCTTATTCTAGCAGAAATAAAGACTTTCTCCAGTAGAAAAAATATTATCAGACTTACTGTAAAAAAATCCTCGATTGGTTAAATATCATTTGGGAAATATTTAAACAAAAGAAAAAAAAGAAAAAAATCAAAGGGGGGCTAATAATTCTGACTTCAACTGTACATTGTTATATTGTGATGGTCCCTATTATCTATTGTGTTGACTCCAAGTAAATTACACTTTAAATACTGCAAATTAAAGCATTATAGATTTCTACTGTAAGAGACAATAGGCTAATGTCAGTAGTCGAATAAAAGGTTCTTATAAACTTCAAACTAAATCAAGAATGAAGTGGAGAGGCATAATTTGAACAAATCAGGCCAAAACAAAGTTCATTTGGAGTTTGTTTTAGTAGTTCATAAAAGCTTTCCAAAGCAAACTTCCTGGAAAAGGTTGCTGCAGCTGGTAAAACTTGCTAGCAGTATAAAACTGCTCAGATATTTCAAATTTATTTTTACCTCTAGATAAAATAGAAAAAATATATCAATATGGTATATTAAGATATTGAATAGGTAGCCCCCCATGCCAATAAATAAATGAACACTTCTCGCTATTAACAAACCATGAACTATGACTTCTGCCTCAAACTCCTAATTTGTTGCTTATTAATAGTTAAGGTAGTAGTTAGGTTAAGATATTAGGTAAGGTTAGGGATCCAGATTAATGTCATCATGCAGAATATATACTTTAGAAGAAACAAATAAAACAGCTAATACCTTAAAAAAAATAGGCAGGTAAAAAAAAACTAATTAATTGTGAAAATTGATCCTTAACTTAAAGTCAAGCACTATTTTGGGGTTTCTGCCTGGATTTTGCCTACGCAAATTTAAAAGCTCCCAAATCCACATACAGAGGTGTAAATGCAAACGTTTGGTATTATTTTAAAGAAAACACAGTTAAAAGTGAATAAAATAATTGTATGTTTTTTGTTTTATAATAAACCCCTCCAAAAAAAGGAGCTTTTTTTCTTTTTTGTAAACTCAAATTTGGAAGTGTACCTTTGCCGTTCCGAGTGGTCTAGGTTGCTTAATTTTGTTGGTTCCTGCACATGTAAGTAATTATAGAAAAAAAAGTAAAATGTCGTTATCATAATCTATTCAAAAGTTATTTTATTCCAACTGATCAAAAAATGGAACCACTTATGGGGGTGTTGGGCCAGTACCAACCTTTAAAATTTAAAGAATGCGGAAGTAAATGATAAAAACAATATTTAAAAAGTCTTTTTTTCCTCTAAGTATGAAAGTCAATGGTTACTGATTTCCAACATTCTTCTAAATATCTTCTGCTGTGTTCTACAGAAAAATGAAACTCATAAATGTTTAAAAGAACTTGAGGGTGAGTAAATGAGTAATTTTAAATTGTTTGGATGAATTTTCCCTTAATGATTACTAGTCGACCTGCAGTGGCATAGTAACAGTCAAAAGAATCTCAGAATGGGCCATTACCTCAACACTGATCTAAGTGCAAAATACCCACATTGGTAGTTACTTTGCTTGCATTACCTATTTGATGTGTAATTCTCCGTAGTAGTTTACACCGTGCACACTGAGCTGTGCTATTTGTGCATTTATAAATGATATACATATCTAAAAATACACCTGGAAAACCAGGGCAGTAGTCTCAAGTATTTCCAATTACATAAACCCGCAGACGAAAAGGGTGCATGACAAATAATATCCCATGGGCATGTTTACTTTCTCCCTGTACATATATTTAGCTAAAAAGTGCAATCAGTCTTTGTTCTTCCAGTTTATAAAGAAATGTTCATTTCAGTCTGTAATTTAATTTCAGATCATTGTGTAAATTCCAGCGTGGAGATTGGCTGTCTGTACTGGCCGGTACAAAGTGACGTGTTTTCAGCATATCTGCTCATTAATTCATGAGAAAGACTTGGTTCAAACCAATCAGCGCGCTCTATTGTGAACTAGATGCAACTTAATTAATATTCATGATATGGCTTCAAAGACTCTTTTTACCTGTTACAATGTTCAGACGGCAGAGAGACGCCACGTTGTGATGCAAAACCGTGATTCAAACAAGCAATAGAAGAAGAATTGTATGGAGACATGGGTCGTCAGTGTTGCATTTATAAATGTGCCGCAACAAAGTGTTTGTTTTAATTTTTCTGCAATAAGAGCACAGCTCGCGATTGGACCCTAGCAGTTGGATTACAGTGGTCTGCTAACATGCAACAAAAAATATGTTTGTGAGGAGCATTTTTACGAGAGGTTTTCGAATCTGGAAATGGTGAAATCCAGATTTGCCACTCATCTTCTTTTTAAAAAAAAGACGTGATTCAAGTTGGTGTTGATTGTCCTGTCTCTACAGATTCGTTAAGTGTATGATCAGTGTTCGTTGTTTAGGTTTCTCCAGATGGCAAAAGTTAGTATCATAAGCAGTACTCTTTCAGTTTTTAGACATACTTTAGTCAAAATTACGTAGTTACTACGTTTACAGTAATATACTGTTACTAGCGCTGCTCGATTATGAGAAAAATCATTCACGATTATTTTGGTCATAATTGTAATCAAAAATATTCAAAACGATTACTGTTAAAGTCAAAAGCATTCGCCCTGCTGTGAATGTTTTAAAAATTCTGTTATAAAATGACTTGCCTAATTACCCTAATTACACCTTTTGAATCACACTTTAATCTAAATGCTTGTATTTAGAAAAATATCTAGTAAATAGTATGTACTGTCATCATAGCAAATATGAAAGAAATCAGTTATTAGAAATGAGTTATTAAAACTATGTTTACAAATGGGTTGAAAAAAAAAAACTTTCCATTAAACAGAAAATGGGGGGAAAAGGGTCGCTAAAAATTCAGGAGGGCTAAAAATTCTGACTTCAACTGTATTCATTTATTTTCCTCCCTGTAAATAAGGAAAGGGAAATAAATACAATAGAATAACAATATGAAACAAACTGTGCTTTAAGCATCTTCACTGTAAGACAAAACTTTAATTATAGCTACAAAAGTCCTTCAGTCGGTTGCAGGAATATTGCACGCGGTCACTTTAAGAGCAGCACCGTTTCGTTTATGGTTTCTTTTTCATGTCTTTTGATTCTCAACTTGTTTATTACACAAATGAGGGTTAATGTGAATAATTACTAAACAACATGTTTTGACACCTACAGTATTTGACCATTAAAGCGCTGACATTAAGGGCCTAATCACACTATGCCGTCCGTACCGTGCCCAGGCCCGTTTCCCGGATCGTTTGAGAAGTGTGAGTGCGCTGAATCGGGCTCAAGCACGGTTCACTTGGCCGGCCCTGGCCCGGTTGGAAGAGGTGGGCCTGAGCGCGGTTCACTTGGGCTTTGGCGCGGTACGCTTGTGAGTGCAAAATGCGCCAAAGCCCGAAACTGAAAGCGAGACATGACTTTTAAGGGGCTGTTTCATATGGATTTATTAATCATTCTTACCGTTCAGTGAACACAAACTGCCGTAGTTTATTAAAGACGAGAACTCCTCACAGCACGACAGCTGCGCAAACCTCCTCGTTCCTGCAGCACGAGGGCTTTATGATTGTTTATGAGCGGCAAAAGTGTCGGATCTGTTCGGCGAAATATCTGACTGTGTGTCACCGCATCCCTAAGGACTGTTTGGCGAAATATTTGACAGCATGTCACTGCATATCAAACGACTGAAACGATATAACTAGAGAAATCTCCACTGTGCTGCTGAGTGAGAGAGCGCTTCTCACTGAACAGCGCAGCAGCGATGACGTAAGCGTGCCGAGGCCCAAATTGTGGTGTGAGTCGGAGACGGGAGGGGGGACAAGCGTGCTTTGGCCTGGTTCGAGGCAACTGTACCTTGTGTGAGTATGGCCTAAGATGGCATTAAATGCATGTGCTTTGCTCGTCTTTGAGGCTAAGCGCACACACAACAGCATGCAATCTCATTCGCGCTTTTAAAAACATTAAAATGTACATCAATGAATAATGTGCATCCCGTGCTGCAAACGTTACATTACAGTACATGCTTTTAGTCATTTTACTGTGAAACTGAGCTTTGCAGAGCAACAAATATGTATAACTGGAAAGAGGCTGTATATGATGCAATAATCATTTTACCTCAATTATAGGTTTTTCATAATCGTTAGAAGCCAAAATCTAAATCAAAACCTGATCTTCGATTAATTGCACAGTATCATTGACTGAAAATCCCCCAGTTCCACACAGCTCACAGATCTGTAAATGTTGCTCTCCGAATCACAGTCTATCTCCCCTGCATCTGTGTTTGTGTTGCCGCTGTGAAAGTCAGCTGTAGTGCACGTAATGAAACTCCCCATTTTCAAGCAAACCCTTCCCTCTTTCACCACTCAACACTCCCACCTAAACAAAGCTGGACTCACCCACTTTTCTGAGGGTTGGGGTTGGGGGGGGGGTCATCTCCGAATGTCCTATTCAGCAACACTACAAACAATCTGCTGCCATCAGTTTAAAAATTAAAACCACTGCTCCAACCGCTGGGTCTGATTTCACAGATTTGACTCAGTTTGAACTTTAAAGTGTCGGTTGCTACTCCTCTGACAGAATTGCATAATAACTATTTAAAAGTGTGCAGACTTCTGTCATTGCAAAAGTCTAAAAAGACAATTTTCCCAACAGTTTCTGCTGACTTGCACAACAAGCACTACAGCCTGCCAAACCCTCAGACTTCGACGTGCAGCACAGACCACCTGCAAAAATAATCACATGCATGTGATCGCATCCTCAGGGACGCTTATTTTGTTGTTGCATTGAAGTTTACAGCCATATCAGCTTCACTGGCTCTTAAAAAAGGACCATTCATCATATAGCCACTTTGTTTGTGTAATTTTCAGACTGTGAATAACTGTTTAATACACTGGTGAGCTTGATGGGATGATAGTATCTTATCTGAAATGAGACAGGAGGTCAGTGGATCAGACAGCATGAGGAAACTCAATCAAGTGGAGGAATGTTGCCCCTGTGATGTCATCGTGACTCTGGAAGACCATGTTACATTTGGCAACCTCAGCTCTAAATGTGTTACTCCAAAGTGTGTTGACTTCAATGAACACAAGAACTAATGTAAAACAGTTTTTTTTATTATTTATGTAAAATGGTTTCTATTATTGTTTTAATCCTACCTGTTAAGGAAGGCATTGCCAAAGGCGTTGAGTTTCCGAAAGGGTTTTTTGGGATCTACGACCAGAGCGTTTCCTGGTATTAGTCCCTCCATGGTGCCATGCATCACTGCTATAAAGGAGTCCGTCGTGGGTTCTGGACCAATCCGCATACCAGGAAAATCTTGTTCCAGAAGATATCTATTAAAAAAAGAAGAAGATACATTTAGATTATATCACTTGAGATGTTTTTTGAAATCTGATCTGTCATGTTTACTCTTCTGCCTACAACTATGGGGACACCTATTCATTGTATAAATCGCTGTCAATTTTACATTATCGTTGTATTTTGCACTGTCGTTGTATTTGCATTGTCTGTATTTTGCACTGACGTTGTATTTGCCCTATCTGTATTTTGTACTGTCTGGAGGCAGCACCTAAGCTTTTCACTCATCATAGCAGACGTGCTGCTGATGATGTGACAATAAAAGTGATTTGATTTGAATATTTGTGAACGATTGGTTATTTGAGGCTGCACAGTGGCGCAGTGGGTAGCACGATCGTCTCACAGCAAGAAGATCACTGGTTCAAGCTTCGGCTGAGTCCGTTGGCGTTTCGGTGTGGAGTTTGCATGTCCTCTCTGTGTTGGCGTCCGGTGTCCCCCATAGTCCAAAGACATGTGGTATAGGTAAATTGGGTAAGCTAAATTGTCTGTAGTGTATGTTTGTGAATGAGTGTGTATGGACGTTTCCCAGAGATGGGTTGCAGCTAAAAGGGCATCGCTTCGAATAACATATGCTGGATAAACTGGCGGTTCATTCCACTGTGGCAACCCCAGATTAATAAAGGGACTAAGCCGAAAAGAAAATGAATGAATGATTATTTGAATTCCTTTTACTATGAATATATAATGACAAACAGTTAAAGTTGAGATGCCTTTTATATGATATCAGCATGACATTTAAAACTAATTTTATATACAGTACACAGAGAGCATGTTGAATACAAGTATACTTTCGAATAACTTCAGTTGTAATGTCAAATAATTGAAAAATGATTATCGATTTTTGCACAATATATTACTTCAGCATTGCTTATTTTCAATAGTCACTTCGCAAAATCTCCAATGACAAGTATGTATTATAATTTATCATGCATGTGTTTTTGATGCCAATGACCAATGAGTTTAACAGCATTCAGGCATGAGAAATTGTACCGTTTCTAACTTTACTAACAATTAATTGGACTAATTTATTTTTTAATACAATTACTTGATATTGTTGTACTCGAAAAACTCTAAATCTTTTATCTTTTTCTTTATTTTATTTATCTATGCTTGTATATTGCTTATTCGCATTATATATGTATATTCCTTATACTGCCTAAACCATGCAGATGCACTTCTCTAAAGAATCATCTGAGTCCGTCTAAAATTATAATTTTTGCAAACAGAGATATTAAGTAATTTTTACTTCATGCAGCCCTAAAATGTATGTAGCAAAGATACAGCATTACTCACTCTGACATGTACAGTTTGGTACGTAAAGCACTGTTATACCAAATAACATTTCAGTCATCTGTAAATCTGGTCAATCTTTTTTTCATATGATAAAAATTCATTTTGCTCCAAAAAAGGATTAAAATACAAAGTTTGATTGTTTTTCTATAGATAATGTGAAAGAAAGTGATAAATGTCTGTGAAACAACATGTTTTTTGACTTGTCTGACATTTCTTTTGCCCACGACATAAGCCTAAGAGTCATAATTGCATAACATGACATAGTGACAGTCATGACACAGACAAAACTATTCTGAACCCAGCATGCATTTAATTCCATGATGAAACAGACCAAATAAAAAAGGGCACTCAAACTTTTGCATGACAATAATGGTTGCCTCATTTAAGACCCCATACATTCTAATGATTCCGATTATTTCTGCTGCTCTGAACACTGCTAAGATCACACTCTGATGGGGAATGGGAGTTTGAAAGGTAATGTTTACTCTTCTCAGCATTTAGATCCTGCTCTGGACATGTGAGGCATGGAGACTGTTTGCAATATCAGAGCATGTTAAAATGACAGTCTGAGTAGCTACAGGACACTTGGCTTCAACTGAGAAGTAACTAGCTGCTGTTTACACCACTAACACAAGAGTGTAAATGAAACATTGGCATAGTTTATGGTAGGGATGTTTTCCCATGGTCAATAGATTTAATACTGGGGAAGTTCATAACTTCACTTTTACTGTTACACTATCATTCTGATGAAATCAATAAAATAGAAGCAAAACAAATTTGATCTGTCACCGACTCATGATAAACATTATGGGCCCTATCATACACCCGGCGCAATGCAAATGTTATTTGCTAGTTTCAGCTCGATGCAAGTGTAATTTTGACATTTTACACCACACCGTTGAAATAGCAAATGCATTTGCGCTCAGATGTGCGCCCATAGGAGTTCTGGTCTAATAAGGAGGTGTGTTAAAGCGCAATGCTATTACGAGGAACTAAAATAGACTGCGCAATAGACCCGCTGAGAGCAGGTCTAAAGTCCAGCACAGAGCGCGTTAGTTGTGCACCTCGTGTTGCTTAAAACATGTAGGATGTAGAGTAATACAGAAATCTCTCTACAAATGAAAAAGAATTAAAGGATTGAAATGTTACAAAAAATATTATTTTCTATAAATATAAAAACCAGTACCTCCATGCTTTCTTCACATCGGGGGCTTTTTTTTCAGTTTATTCATGACAAATTGCTTTTGTATAATGTTATTATTATCAATAGTATTATTTCTTATATGCATATTTATATTTGTTTTATTAAAAAACAAGCTTGGATTTGTCCACCTTTCACGCTTTAGCACTCTGCGCTTCAGACTTTGCGCCTAGACCATTAAAATAGATTCCTATTGCTCTAAAGTTTGAAATTGGTATTAATATCTTTACTTTAATGCAATATTTTAAGTGCTGTGAAATACTAAAGTGACTAAATTAAAGTCAAGTAAATAATACCAAAGAGCTTAGAATTACCAAGAGTCGACATTCAAGAGAACATTCCATTGCAACAGCAGTGCCCAGCAACAGCTCCGGATTCCACCATTTTGGGGTGAAAGCGGTTGGCTTTCCATTGGATCTTATTACTGTTGCGATGGCCAGCAACAGTTTTTTATTTATTCGTTTAAAAAGCGGATTGAAAGCTGAGATGCAACCTAAAAGATGGCAATATAACACTAACTATATTACAATCATCAGTACTTTTTATAGTTTATTTTACAGACTTATAATATGCTTTTGTTCTATTGGAATTTTCATTCCAAAATGGCTGCTGCGCCGTCTAGTGGCTGTTTCCCGAATCGCACTAGAGTGTCGCCTCTTGGTGATTCTAAGCTCTTTGATAACACTAAAGTTTGCAAATGTCAACCTCGCCAAGTTTCCACTAAAATAGCTAAATCGTTTCTGTGTTTTTTGCATAAGCATTTACAGTACTTTAAAAATAATCAAAAATGTCTCTGTCAATGTTTTTAAAGATTTATATTTAATGTAGCAAAGTCACACAAGTGCCAATTTCACATCTGTCACATGCATAACCAAGCGTTTTCCTCATGAATGCAAAAATGTTAAATAAAACAAATATTTTTCAGTTGTATAGTGAGCCAACTCTTATCCTTTTGATTCGCATAATTAATTTTGTGTTGTGCAGTTTAATTCACAGAATTACTACAAAATATGTTGTCTACTGCAAACTTGATAACATTTTTGGTCAAATCCATAACGCATGTTTATTTTCCTCATTTAAAATCTAAAAACTGTTTACAGGCTGCTATTTTTCTTATGCCGTAGCTCTGTGGTTAGTGGTGTTGTAAAATATAAACAGATGTTTCAATACAATGTTACACATTCGCTGTGAATTTATGTTTTAAGTTTTTACTCTAAATGTCACATCAATAAGGCTGGAATTGCTCATTTACAACGCATACAATTAAAATGGATTACCATTTTTAATAAATGGTGTTCTTCTCAACTTTGTAGGCATAAAATAACGTGTTGACAAAAATATTGAGCAGCACAAACGTTCCTCAGCATTTGATAATAAGAAATGTTTTCTAAGCAGCAAACAATTAGAATAATTTCTAAAGGATCATGTGAAGACTGAAAACTGGAGTAATAGTTATTTAGTAGTTTTTCCACAATAAGTTTAAATGCTGTTATTAAAGTTTAAAATTTAATTTGAAAAATGTGAAAATACTCAGCTAATCCAGGTCTACAGATCGAAATAGTATAATATGTTTGAGCACAACAACATAGCTAACACTGATTCAGCTGTTTTTTTTTTGACTGTTTTTTTTTTTAAAGAAAGTGATGCATGTGGAACAGAGCAGAGCTTATGTGTAATGTGAGCATGTTGAAAAGATTCAATGTTAAACTTCCCTACACATTATAATGAAGTGTTTCATGGGGTTACATTTAGAAAACATGTGGAGAAAGTTGAGCTTATTTTCATTCACAGTTATGTGTTCAGTCAGCAGAACAGGCAGCGTGTCCACTGAGGCTCTCATGACCCTTATGAATAATGCAAGGAGGAAAGAAAGCCAGAGCGAAAGATCAAGAGGCTCATTTGTTACCAGCGCTGGACAATATCACACTCGCACATATTTAAAACTCACCTTGAGTACACACGACTGAAAAATTATTTTAAAAAGTGAATTCAGAAGTTAATATACCGAAATATTTAAAAATATTCTTAATCAATAATTATTATTTTCTAATTTTTTTTTATTTGTGTACAATTATTTTTAATTTATGCTGATAATTTTTTCAAAACAAAATTCCAATTCGATTTGCAGCTTAATATTTTTGTGCAAAGCATGACATATTTTGGTGAGCAGGTTTAAAACATTGCAAATGATTTATTAAATTTAACAGCTTTGGTTAATAAAAGAATACATTTATTTTCTTTTTTTGTTAACTCCAAAGTTGACCAGTATGAGCATTATGTTAAAGGGCACCTATCATGAAAATCATCTTTTGTAAGCTGTTTGGACAGAACTGTGTGTAGGTATTGTGTGTCCACTGTCATATTGGGGTGATATAAAGACAATAAGTCTGTTTTTTGAATGTCCTGATGTTAAAACAGGACCCAAATCCCTCTCATTTTGAGATTAACCGCAACATGACGTAGAAGTGTGGTTTCCATGCCCACCGAACTGATTGACAGCCGGGTATAACATGTCTCTGTAGTAACGTGTATAATCATATCCACAAGACAGGATGTGTGCAAATCAACTGGGATTAAAAGTTCTGTTCAGCTCTCTGTGATCATCAGTCATCAAATGTGATCAAGAATGAGTTTTACAAGTTTAAAATGTTACATAGCGATTTTACATTTAGCGATTTTTACATTCTTTATCATCACAGCCAATGTCAGTACAATAGAAGACTCTTCAATCCCAGTTTGCGGACATTAAATCAGGTTTATTTTGTACATTAACATAACAGATATCCATACAGTAGCGGATATTAATGTGTATCCCGTCACATTTGCCGAGCAAACACTGTGCAAAGTTAAAAGTGCTGTGTGTGTGTGTGCGTGAACTTTGTAATGACATTTTGTGTGACTCATTGTTGCAAAAAGACTTGAATTAATTCCACAACAAATACATCAAATAATCATTGGTAAAGTTCTACTATACTGTAGTAATTCTCACAAACTTTACATGAGATCTGCCTCCTTCATGTATGTCACTGTGCTGTTTATCTGACGCAGCCAAGGTGGAGATTGAGGCACATTCTGACAGGTACATAGGAACAGTGAGCATGGCAAACTAGCATTAAAGGCACAGGCAACAAAAACATCTACAGAATATTTAGAGCAGAAAATCCCAACATTCTGAAATGTATAATAAATAATCCAATGGGTGTTGAGCTGAAACTTTAGACACATTCTGGAGAGACCAAAGACTTATCTTAAATCTTGAAAAATGGGTAAAATAGGTGCCTTTTAACGTAATGTTATGTTATTTTAAATAATATTATACAAAGTTGACCATTTATGAATATAAAAAGTGGGCTCTGGTCAAAATGTTGCATGATGAAAATAAAAGTTAAAAAGTTGCCAATTTGACTAATGATTTCACAATTCTTGAATAAAAAGTCTTACAAAAATAAATGTTTTAAACTAGACTTCAGGTTAGTCCTAAACGTTTTCTACATTAGAAGCCATTAATGACAAGTTACTATGGCAATGCTGGTGCAACTGGAAGTGTCTCTTGTTGCCTAGTGATTGTTAGTAGTTTGTTGCCTTTCCTTTTGGACCAAAGTAGCCCTAAATCCCCCAGCAGACGAGTCTCACACCACAGCAGCGACAGCGATTGTGTCATACAGACACATCTCAGAGGTGGAGCCAGCTCTGTTTACAAGGAAACCAGCTCTGTCTAAGCTGAAATTATAGTACCATGCTAAGAACTTTGTATAGCATGTAACATCAAGATCTGCATTCAGTGGACACAGAAATTAAGTTCTCGTGTAAACAGATGACGGATAAATCTGTATCGCCAGTCGTGGAGTTTTTTGTTTAAATGTTTTTTTTTTGTCTATTATGTGCTTCTTAAATTAACTAAAATGTGTCATTGACAATCCTATACGATTGTGGGGAATTTCACGACTTGTAAAACTGGTTGCTACAATTACAGTATAACTGATACCGTAATTCAAAAACATATACAAAAAATGAATGAGGTCACGTATTAAATCATAAAAGGGGGGTATTGTCAGATTTGACTGAAAGTTTGTTGCAAGCTTCTCCGTAATCCAATCTGATACAAAGCACTACATGTTTCCTGTTAAATGTCATCAATGTTAGAATTCATTCATTTTCTTTTCGGCTTAGTCCCTTTATTAATCTGGGGTCGCCACAGCGGAATGAACCGGCAACTTATCCAGCACATGTTTTACGCAGCAGATGCCATTCCTGCTGCAACGCATTACTGGGAAACATCCCCACACTCTCATTCACATACATACACTACGGACAAGTTAGCTAACCCAATTCACCTATAGCGCATGTCTTTGAACTGTGAAGAAAACCGGAGCATCTCGAGGAACCTCAAGCGAACACGGGAAAAACATGGAAACTCCGCACAGAAATGCCAACTGATCCAGTCGAGGCTCAAACCAGCGACCATATTCATAATGTGTATGCACATATCACTTCTTCATAACATTTATTTAAAGGTCCTTGATTATAAAGTTACCTGGCTTGCGAAAAGAAAACATATTAATATATTATATTTAAATGTAAAACTTAACGATAAATGACAAGAGATTTTATGATGTCCATGAATCAGTTAAGACATTATTTATTATTATTATTTATAAATCTTACTTAAAACACATATAATACCATTTGCTTTAAACTAATACAATTTAACTTATACATAAACTGTATATCCTATACATTCATACACATTTTTACTGCACTTTTATGTGTCCATTTCATAATGTTTAGGCGCCTATGAGTTCTTCATAGTATTTATTTAATGGTTCTTGATTAAAAAGTTACTTATATTTAAATTTAAAATTTAACTTAACAGTAAATGACAGGACATTTTATTATGGCCATAAATCAGTAAAAACAATATTATTACTACTACTACTACTATTATTAATACTATTTACAAATACTAATTAAAGCACAATATAATTTGCTTTAAACTAATACAATTAAACTTATACATAAACTGTATAACCTATGCATTCACACACATTGTTTACTGCACTTTTATGTCTTTATTTCATAATGTTTACGCACATATAACTTTTTTTATAATATTTATTTAAAGATGCGTGATTATAAAGTTACCTGGCTTGAGAAAAGAAAAAAAATCATATATTATATTTAAACTTAAAATTTATGTTAACAGTAAATGACAGGACATTTTATAACGGCCATGAATCAATAAAGACATGGAGACTATAAATACTACTTAAAACACCAAGTAATTTAATTAATACAATTAAATAATCCTATAACCAATACATTCATACACACGTCTACTGCTCGTTTATGTTCATTATTTTAATGCTTATGTATGTAAAACAATGTTACCTGGTTAACAGTGTCACTTACCAGTCAGCAAAGACAACAAATGTATAGGAAACAATATTCAAATACATCAACAAAATGCTAATACGTACTTCTCAGGACATTCGCACCTGTTATACAGGAGCAAAGACGTATATCTTACCTTATAAAGCTGGTTTTGCCGGTAGAATATTGACCCACAAGGAGAACCATGGGTTTATTGTCAAAATCTGCATCCTCCAGCGCGGGTGAGTGAAACTCGTGGAATTTGTAGTGTTCCTCAAGAGGAAGCAGTTTGGTTTTGTAGAGCTTCTTGAGTCCTTCACTGACAGTCTGGAAGACCTCTGGATCTTTCTTCCTCCTGTCATCGGTACCCAACCAGCTGAACATGATGCAACTCTAATATATACAGCCTTTCTACAATATTTCTTTATTTACTTGGACAATTTTTCCACAAATACGCACAAACTCGCCGACTGTAGTGTTTTCGAATGAATGGATCTTTTCTGACGTCGACGTATTTTAAATGTCCATTGAAAATGTTCCCCTGTCTGCAGGCCACTCACGACACAAAATGCACAAAAGACTAAATCATAATTACAAAATGAAACTTATTACATAATATAATGCTGATATTTCACGATCAAAACATGGCCAGAGCGGCAGCCTTTAATTGAGGCTATTGTTGGAATAAAAGCGCGCGCCGCAACACTCGACAATGCCTCATTCAGCGACCGCGACAAATGTTGCAGTTGTGAAAGAGAAAAGAAAACGAGCGGCAAATCCTCCAGCAGAGCAGATTCAGTCACGTTGACAGGCGTTCACAGGCTTCCCACTGCCGCAGATTTAAATGCCAGTGCGCTGGAGAAACCCGACACCAGAGGAAATGTCCCACTGGCAAAGCCCCACCCAGAACACAAGAGCTCCAGTCAGGGATGCAGCGCCGTTGTAGCGGACGGTGATGGCTGGTACTGCTGCTGCTTTTTCTCCAGGGAGGTTTTTGTTTACATCATCAACATAATGATAAATGCATAAAATACAGTCCAGGGATGTTCTTTTCTGTATAACATGATATAATAATATACTATGCTTTCCACAAGATTTTTTTTTACATTATTACAAAGATAACTGCATAAGAATATACAAGGATGTCATTCTTATAAACATAACATTATCAACATAACATAACATAACATAACATAACATAACATAACATATCCAAAGTGGAATCTGAGTTTACATCATTATAGTGACTGGACATAAATCATACTTTGAATGTTATTTTTATGCATGCATTACATTTTATGATGCATTGCATTTAAATATGTGTTTAAAAATAAGACGTTTTGATCAATAGCTCTATAAAGGTTGACAAAGGTTAATAAGTGTGGTTGGAAATGTCCACCTAGTGGTAAGCCATTGTAGAGCAACAAACTTATAAAATTAAATAAATAAATAAATAAATAAATAAAGCATCTACATTTTCATATACATTGACATTGGGTTCTAATAGGAAGGCCCTATCACTCTGAAGGGATTAGGCCAGAGGGATGACCCCTTCTGAATTTAAGACGGTGTGTGACACCAAAAAAACTTTTAAAAGGATCTCGGCTGTAATGTTGTATCCTTGAAAATCCTTCATAAAAAAAAGGCCTTTTAAAGAGGGTAGTTTGAGCACTGATATCACAGGCATGATTGTTTTCACTCTAAAGTGCCCTTCAAAAGGTGAAATTTCTACTTTGAAACAAGCTGAAAGTCAGAGCCACCCCCCCCCCCCCCAAAGGGCCTAACTATTGTTAAAACTAAATGAAAAACAGTAAAGTATACACTTTTCAGTAGTAAACTTCAAACATTTGCCGTTTCTAAAAAAAATGTTCAAGATTTTACAAAAGGTTAATTGGTTATGTGATATAGTACATTTATAAAATCAAGTTAATCTCAAATTGGTGTTGATTGTAATAGCCTATAGGTCAAGAAAAAAATATAAGCTGGGACAAAAGGCATGAAGCATAACACAATAAATTAAATATACTTAAGGGAAAAAAAAACCCTGCAGAAACATTCAACAAAGGGAGAGTAAGGTTACAGTCTGATAAACTGATTCAGTCAGGAGCTTTATGCTAAAATTATATTTCCATAATGAAGAAATCTTAAATAAATGTCATTTTTGGTTGCCAAGAAAACAACACAAGAAACAGAAAACAAGATACTTAACTGTCATGTTAACACCTAATCATGTTTTATTGCCAGTATGCAAATAACAGTGTAAACAGTATTAACAGAGTGTAAAGAAGGCAGAGACCACTAGATGGAGAAATAAGACAACAAAACACCAGACTAGGAAGCTCATTTAAAGGTAGCTTGTGTTAATGAATTGTTTTTTACATTTTTCTTTCTATTTTGCGTTTATTCTTTTTAGGTTTTTTTTTTTTTTTTTGTAAGAGTTGGGTGTGCCAAATTTTTATTTTGTTAAACAAAGACAAAACAGAAGTCACTGCATTTGAGAACAAAGATGAGATTCTCAACAAACAAAAAATTAAGTCAAGAATCTTGATGTGATTCTGGATTCAGATCTTTTAGTGGGCAGGTCAAAGCAGTAATTAAATCAGCATATTATCACCTCAAATACTTTGAGCATAAATATAAGAAATAAAATTTGAATTAGATGCTTGGAAAAATTAGAATGGGATGTAAAGAATTAGATGCTTTGTTTCCAGGAATTACTGTAGAGAAACGTATTAATGCTTTTATCACCAGCAGGGTGGATTACAGTAAAGGACTCCTCATTGGTCTTCCCAAAAAAGACAGTCAGACATTTGCAGCTCATTCAGAACAATGCTGAAAGGATTTTGACCAGAACCAGAAAATCAAAGTACACCACACATGTTCTCGGGTCTTTTCACTGGCTCCCAGTTACATTCAAAATAGATTTCAAAGTATTGTTACTTGTTTATAAAGCACTATTTAGCCTAGGACCTCAATGGATTAGGCAAGTTTTAAGGCACTGTGCTACGTCTGACAGACTGCACTATTTGTCTTTTCTTTTCTTTTTATATTATTAACCAGTATTTAAACAACTTTACTTATAAATAATATAACTGTTATTTCTTATACTTATTCTTTCTTTTATTGTTGTGTAAAGTACTTTAAAATACTATTGCAATTGAAATATGCTATATAAATAACCTTGCCTAAAAGACTTATACAAGAAATAAAAGGTATAGTTCACTAAAAACTGAAAAATCTGCCATCATTTACTTGACTTCAATACCAGTTTGACTTTATTTTTTCTGGTAAACACAAAAGAAGGTATTTTTAAAGAAAGCTTCAAACCCGTAACTACTGATTTCCATAGTATTTGTTTTTTCTATAATGGAGGTAAATGGTTACACGTTTGCAGCTTTCTTCAAAATACCTTTTTTCGTTTTCAACAGGAGAAATGAACTCAAATGTTTGGAATCACTTGAGTGTGAGTAAATAATTGATGCATTTTAATTTTTGTCTAAACTATCCCTTTCACACTGCTTAATATTAGACAATTTGACAACCATTGTCATTTCCAACTGGTTTTGCAGGTTGTATTCAGTAGTGTAAAGTAACAAACTGCAAATTCTCAAACCACCGAGAGTAGTTTTTCTCAGGAATTGTAATTTACTAAGTATTTAAGATAATTTAAGTAAATTTTTAGTGCAGTATACTTTCACTTTATTACTTTTCTTCAACCTGCTGTTAATATTTTTTCTTGTCTATGGGAATTAGAAAATGTCCAACCTAAATCCAACCAAATATCAACGTCTAATGATGTTACAGCTTGTAGTGGTGTGGACCTCACCACTATGACGCCTGTTAGATGTTGGATTTTGGTTGCCACAGTTGACAAATAAATATCAGTATTTCCTTTCAATATGACATTGGATTTTGGTCACTTTCTAACCTAAAATCAACCAAATATCAACATCAATTGACATTATTGGCAACACAATAACCTTGTCCTTTGATGCTGGCTATACACTGAATTTTGGTCATCTGACATCACAACCTAAATCTAATCTAATATTAACGTCTTAAGACTTTGTGTGCCTGCTGAGCAATATAATGCACTACAGAATGTTACATATGTAAATGCATCTACTTTTCACAGCGACAGCGTAATACTACTCTTGAGTACTTTTGAAAGGTCTACTTTTTACTCATACTTTGAGGAATATTTACAACAGATACTTTTACTCCACTTGCACTACATTTTAGGCAAGTAATGGTTCTAAGGAATAACTTTTCAGTACAATTTCCACCACTGGTTGTATTTGCCTCAATTCTCAAAGGACATTTTATAACACAGACACACACTAAGGAAATTGCCGAGCGTAAACTGTGACTCTCACCACAAGATGTCTCTCTCCCTCACACAATATGTTTTGATCTTTCATTTCAAAGTTAAACTTAAGTCGAGTGCAAAAAAAACGCAGGACTACCGGAGAAACAAATGAAAACAAGCTGCTGCTGTAATTAGATTACGTTATTATTCAATTCCAGCGAGTTTAAAGACAGAGTCAGATATTAGATATAATATGCTGTGAAGCAGCTTCGTAATGTAATGGATGAGAGAAACAAGTTCCTCTCCTTTGTATTTCTGATGAAAGGAACATGGAAGCAAACAACCATGACACGTTTTCCAAGACGAGGGGCTGAATTTTTATAATTGAAAAAGGAAGATAATTGAAACCGGGGTATTTAATATTCAGGAGCTGTATTGTTTCCCACTGTTGTTCTTGTTAGTGGCTGATGAAGCACAACAGATATGAAGACGCACTTCTGCTAAGCTCTGTTTCATGTGCATGAAGGCCTGAGGCTGTTCATATTGCTCTCTGAATCCCCATTACAGAAGCCAGCTGTACAACAGCGGTGCACAAAATGGATGATCAACGCACAATAACTAACCTGTTAGGTTATAAGGTAAATATATGGCCCTTTTAGTACTAATATGTCTCAATTGAACAGGAGCTTCTCTTTTTGTTGTTAGTTTTTCTCTTTTTTATTGTTTATGGTGATTGAACGTATGAGAGAGTAGGCTTTCAGTCCAAATTATTTTAAGTGTTTAAATGACAATGCTGACAAATCCTTACCCTGCTCTGATGTGAAATGGTGAGTAATTGCAGCTGCAGCATTGAAATACACTGTACTTCGCATACGTCTTTTGATGACCAGCATTTTTTGTGGACTTGAGGGTCACCCATTCGGTTTTCATCTGGACAACCTGGTGTTGGAGGGTTTTGGTCACTTTTAAACCTCACCAAGTAGCAAATTCAAGGGATAAGGGCTAAGGGGTAGAACTGGGATGGGGTCTAAGTGCTAGCTTGTACACTTTTAAAGATGGTGATATTTTATGTGGC